TGGCAGTGGTCCAAAATGATTCAAATCGTTGGTGGTCCGCAACGGTTCAGATGGAGGTGGTTAGCGGTGGTTCAGATAGGCGGTGGCGGCGGTGGTTGTTCAAATCGGTGGTGATCAGCGGTGTCCGATAGTGATTCAGATCAATTGTAGTCGTCGGTGGTTGGTAGTGATATAGATCGATGGTGGTCCGTTGTGGTTCAGGTGACAATGGTCAAATGTGGTTCAGATCGATGATGGATCATATCGGTGGTAGTCGGTGGTGGTGGTCGATGATGGTTCAGATCGGTGGTAGTTGGTGGTGGTGGTTGTGGTGGTGGTGGTCAGCGTTGTTTAGATCGGTGGTGGTCCATGGTGGTTCAGATGGCGGTTATCGGCGGTGGTTCAGATTGACGGTGGCTCAGAACGGCGATGGTTCAGATGGGTGGTAGTCGGTGGTGGTGATCGGCGATGGTTTGTATCAATGGTGGTCGGTGGTGGTTCAGATCGGTGGTAGTCGGCGGTGGTGGTGGTCGGCGGTGGTTCATATCGGTGGTAGTCGGTGGTGGTGGTGGTGGTTCAGATCGGTGGTGGTGGTCGGCGGTGGTTCAGATCGGTGGTGGTGGTCGCAGTGGTTCAGATCGGTGGAGGTGGTCGACGGTGGTTCAGATCGGTGGAGGTGGTCGGCGATGGTTCAGATCGATGGTAGTCAGTGGTGGTTTAGATAGGTGGTAGTCGGTGGTGGTAGTCGGTTGTGGTTCAGATCAATAGTGGTCGAGAGGTGGTCGACGATGGTCATATTGAGTTTTATGAGATTATAGTATATTAGGTTAAGGACATATTTGGTATAATGATGATAGAGATTCCATTCCATCAAAATACCATGTAGTTGCTAAGGAATGTTAAAATCCTTTATCTATGGAATTCATAGGAATCTGAAGATTCCTTCCGCTGAAAAGAATGAACCAAACGAAGGAAATGAATCTGGTCAAAGGAATTCAACATTCCAATTCCTTCAGATTCCTCCAGAATCTGCGAACCAAACGCCACCTAAGGTTTCTATAGAAATTAATATTGTAGAGAATTCTTATACAAAAACCTTGATTCTTATCTTAGGGGTCGTTTATCAAACATTTACCCGGTAAGTGCTTATCGGTAAAATTCAACATTACCATTAACTTATCGCGTAAGATTTAGTCTACCAAAACAATATTGTATGTAATAATTTACCTGGTAAGCGTTTACCGTGATAAGAGTCGTCGCCCTCACTTAACGGGTAAGACTCTTGATTCTTGTTTCGCTTTTATCGGGTAAGATTCTTGATCACTATATTCATCCGGTAAGGTAATGTGACTTGGTGTTCACTTACCCGAGTAAGCATTTGGTAAACGTCTCTTAGAGTTTGCGTGAAATGACATTTTAGTTCTTTTGATTTTTTACGATATTTTATTAGTTTTTATATAATTATTAATGTTTATAAAAATTAAAAGGGTACTCGCGCAATGAGTCGAGATACATCTCGATTTTAATTTTTCATTTATTCTTTTTCTCTGTCCATATAATTAAGTATCTGTTAAAAACTCAATAATTATCTTAATTATATTTTAGATTTTTTATATTTAAAATGAGATGTTTATTTTGTATTTGATTATTTTATATGTAGTTTGTTACATGGATTCAAAAATAAAGCTTTTATAAATTGTACTTGCACATAATTTATTTGTAATGTTGAATTTTAAATAATATGCATCAATAAACAATACCTTATGTATAAAAAAATGGTTTTTAAAAGTTTTTTGTCAAATATAATATAGTATAGATACATGGGACCCACACAAAAAGTTCTTATAATAACCACCATTGTGGAGTTTCTTATAAGTAGTTAATTTGGTGAGTTGGAAATTATGTGGCAAAAAAAAGTATAAAAAATTGGGTATTAATCATGATCATCCTATTTCGGGCGGTATATATGCTGCTACGGTGGTAGCGGTGGGAAAGTCTTTCGTGATACGACTAATGCCTCACCAGCTACACTGGGACTGAGACACGACCAAGACTCCTACGGGTGGCAGCAATGGGGAATTTTTCACAATGGGCGAAAGCCTGACGGAGCAATGCCGCGTGGAGGTAGAAGGCCTACGGGTTGTGAACTTCTTTCTCTTTTAATAGTCATACCTCATATAATGAATTTTACCCCCAATTGATTGAATTGCAGGTGAGATGATTTACATCAAAGGTTAGGTCTCTTGTTTCAAGTAGGATTCGTAAAATAAAAGTGTTAATGTACAACTAGACCATAAATTGTTGAAGCTTCCATAAGAGTTAGACTAAGCAATAAAGTAACTCAACGTAGATTCTACATCTTGAAACCAAGCTAGTTTTGGAGCAACTTTATGATAACGAAACCAACCAGCAAAAAGCATTAACGTTGTAAAGATCAATGCACCAATTGCAGTATTGGAAGAATTCCTTTTCGGATAATAGGTATTGTAACTGGCATTCTTTTGATCGGTTTAGTAAGCGTTTTCTTTTATGGTTCATATTCCTTGATTCAGTGTTTTTTTGGAGTTGAGAGAGTACCCCAAATGCATTTGATTTTAGTCTTTTCGTTTGTAAAACGACTTGCATCAACTAGCACGAGTTTGAAATCAAAAAATCTGTTAAATTTCAAGCAGTTAGTTTCACCAATAAGATTTGCAAACTTTCTTCACATTTGGAATTGCACAAATAAGACTATTTATCACCGAGGAGTCTATCGGGTAATATTTCCAACGGAGTTACAAACGGATCCAGAACCAATAAGCATACGTTTGTAAGTTACGAGTTCAACGATGATTGATGGTTCTAGAATCGTTAAGCCTACGTTACGAGAGGATGATCAGCCGTAGACATTGGAGATGCTCTAATGTCTACACCTACCACTTTTGATCCCATCTTGGCCAAACTCATCTTGCTTAATTCCCTTCCACATATCAGCAATGGAGATCAAAAATCTTGATCATCATCAATTCCTAAACCCGATTAGCCGATCCATTTCAACATACAAATTAAACACTTTCTCCGACATCGAATGGGGCACCAGCTTCGTCGATCCTTCAGTCTTCAACCCCACTGCCTTAAACGTTACCCAATGGGTCACTGTTGCCAAGGAAAACGGGTCATGGAGAAATAGAAATGATGAGTGGTGGGTGAATTGGCTGAAGCTGAGATCCAATTGGGTCTTTATCTTTGTCCATGGGATAGACACGAACCTAGTTACGGGAAAACCCTAGAGTACAATGAACAATAATTGGCTCAAATGACTGAATTGCTAACTAGATAATCATAACTTTCAAGATTTCTTGATTTTCTTTCTTGTTTCTTTTGTGTGATCTCAATTAGTGCACTGTTAATTAACAGATATGGGAATATAAAGGAAGTATGGCTTAGATGGTGCTAAAGGGGAAGGAGAGAAACACATGGAATATTTATTCGAGAATTGGTTCAGCCTGGTTCAGTCATATAAAGGACCAGCTAAAAAAATTACACTTTCTATCCCTATCTGTAAAAAAATTACATTTTCACCCAGATCCATAAATAAAATTACATTTATCACTCAGATACGCGAAAAACAATTATATCTTTCACCCAGGCCCATAAGAAAATTAAAATTGTAAACCTAGGACTATTTTGATAAACTTTATAAATAAATGGCTAAAAAGTAAGACCAACGGATAAAATGACTATTTTAGGGGTGTTTGGGATTGTTTATTTAAAACAAGGGAAAAGTACAATAAAAACCAATGAACTTTCTTGTTTGGAATGATTAAGTTCTTGAACTTTTTTTTGGAACAAATAAGTCCTTGAACTTTCCAAAATATGTTAAATAAGTCATTGGACAATTTTTTGGCACAAATAAGTCCTTGGACATTCTAAAATATGTTAAATAAGTCCTTGAACAATCCAAAACATGTTAAATAATTTCTTGAACTTTTATAGAACATGTTGGATACATTCTTATGACTTGTACAACTAGTTAAAATGGTAATTATTTTTTTGTAAATGTAAGTACTTTTTTGTTATATTTGTTTAATTTTATAGATCTAAATACTTTTTGGTTGAAAAAATATTTAGGGGCTTAATTGTTCAAAATATGAATGTTCATTGGGTTTTTTTCCCGGATTTTTTTCACTATTTTACCACTTTATTTTTTTCAAAAAGTTATTTAACATGTTTTGGATTGTTCAAAGACTTATTTGTTCCAAAAATTGTCCAATGACTTATTTAACATTTTTTGGAATGTCCAAGGACTTATTTGTTCCAAAAATTGTCCAATGACTTATTTAACATATTTTGGAATGTTCAAGGACTTATTTAACATGTTTTGGAAAGTCCAAGGACTTATTTGTTCCAAAAAAAAGTTCAAGGACTTAATCATTCCAAACAAGAAAGTTCATTGGTTTTTATTGTACTTTTCCCTTAAAACAACTTATGTTTTTTTGTAAAAATGCTTGATTAACTTATGTGGTATCAAACTGGAGTTTTATAAAAAGTGTTTGGATTAGCTTATAACGGTACCAAAAAGCTATAAGTTGATAAGTTGTTTTTTAGTGTTTGACAAATTTTGCTTATATATGTATAATGACAAAAAATGACATTCTTCCACATTATTGACTTATTTGAATTTTTAAAATATAATTAACAAACATTAATAAAACATGGTTATAATGGTAAACCGGTAATAAACAGTTCTTCATAAGTCAGGAAAGATTAACTTATCAAAAAATGTTTATTACCGGTTTGACACCAGTATAAACAGTTTTAGCCGGTAATAAACAATTTTATTTTTCCTCATCCAAACACTAACATTTAACTTATTACCGATATCAAACTAAAATAAATCAAAAAACTCCTAAAATAAACAATCTCAAACACCCCCTTCATTAATTTCGGAGTAAACAATTTGTACTTGCGTACAAATAAAGGTGATGGATCATGGCTTCTCCTAGGACCCCTACCACTTGTTAGTCAAACTCATCTTCCTTCCCTTCCACAACTCAACAATGGAGATCAAAAAACTTTATCATCATCATCGTCATCTCCCCAACCCGATTACCCGATCCATTTCAACATACCCGTTAATCTTCATCATCTTCTTCCTCCTCTCTCACTCCATCGTCGCCATTTCTTTCCCCAAACCTCCACCAATTCCAATCTTACCCTTTCCCACTTCACAGCAGCTCTCATGGCAGCTATCCGACATGGCACTCTTCCTCCATTTCGGACCCAACACTTTCACCGACAGCGAATGGGGCAGCGGCCACGACGACCCCTCCGTCTTCAATCCCACTGCCCTAAACGCTACCCAATGGGTCACCGTTGCCAAGGAAAACGGGTTTCCTCGGGTCATCTTAACAGCCAAACACCATGATGGCTTTTGTTTATGGCCCTCCGATTACACAGATTACTCGGTGAAATCGAGTCCATGGAGAAATGGGAATGGTGATGTGGTGGGTGAATTGGCTAAAGCTGCTCAAAAAGCTGAGATCCAATTGGGTCTTTATCTTTCTCCATGGGATAGACACGAACCTAGTTACGGGAAAACCCTAGAGTACAATGAACACTATTTGGCTCAAATGACTGAATTACTCACCAGGTAATCAAAACTTTCAAGATTTCTTGATTTTCTTTCTTGTTTCTTTTGTGTGATCTCGATTAGTGCACTGTTAATTAACAGATATGGGAATATAAAGGAAGTATGGCTAGATGGTGCTAAAGGGGAAGGAGAGAAATACATGGAGTATTTGTTCGAGAATTGGTTCAGCATGATCCACCAGCTGCAGCCTGAATCGGTCATATTCTCCGATGCCGGTCCAGACGTCAGATGGGTTGGCGACGAGGCTGGTTGTGCACCCACCACTAGTTGGTCGCTTTTCAATCGGAGCAATGCCGCCATTGGTGCCACTGATCCGACGTTAGCCCTGTTTAACTCAAAACTAACTAAGTTGGAGACTTGTACTTAGTTGGTATCTGAATGGTTTGATTGATTGTTAACAGGTACTCTCAAAACGGGGATCGGTTAGGACACGATTGGGTACCATCCGAATGTGATGTTTCCATCCGGCCTGGCTGGTTTTGGCATGCATCTGAGGTTCCTAAATCTGCAGCTAACCTGCTTGAATTGTACTATAATTCGGTAGGGCGAAACTGTCTTTTGCTACTAAACGTGCCACCAAATTCTTCAGGTCTCATATCTGAAGAAGATGTAAAGGTCCTTGGAGAATTTTCTAAGCTCAAAAACTCCATTTTTTCGCGTAGTCTAGCCAAAGAAGCTGTAGTTTCTGCTAGCAGCACGCGAGGTGGGCATAATAATACACGGTTCACGGCCAGTTCTATACTGGATGACGGTATTTTTACTTACTGGGCTCCTAATATCAATCAATCTCACTGGGAAATATATCTAGATTTTCAAGAATCAGTGAGTTTTAATGTTATACAACTGCAAGAACCAATTCAAATGGGGCAGAGGATTGCTAAGTTTCACGTAGACGTTGTAAATGAAGACGGAAAATGGTGCGAAGTTTTGAGTGGGACAACGGTGGGATACCGAAGGCTATTACGGTTCCCAGGCGTCAAAACTCAGAGCCTAAGGCTCGTCATCGACGAGTCCAGATCAGATCCGTTGATTGCTTATCTGGGAGTTTACGTTGATACAGTTTCTATAATTGGGAGCACTATGAGAAACTCGAGCTCTCATTCTTACTTCAATGCCAGTCAAGTTCTGCATCAAATCGCATATAATCACACTCATATTTCTTCATCATAGTCTCTCTCAATGTAATTTCATCCTATTAATTGTATGTATAATCTGAGTAAATAAAAAGTGGCAACATTTTCAACATACATTAGCAGATTCTGTGGGAAATCCAGATTTATCCTGTTATTTGCATATCAGAGTAAAACCTGAAATGCAGCATTCATTGTGGAAACACTTTTGGATTTAGTAGAGTTTGAAAAGAAAAAACCGTGTTTGAAGCAGCAGCGTATCAAGTTATCTTGATGTCTCGAAGAAGCCGAGCAGCCATGGATCCGTATCTTCTTGCTTCCCAGTCGCTGAGATTTCCCTGATGGGATTCTGTTGGTAACACATTATCAGCTTCACCTTCGACTCTGCTGATGGTATCGTCTTCAGTCTTTTCATTGGTACCACTTTCGATTATGGGATCATGATTTGTATTTCCTTCTGGGATCTTTAACCTCATCATGTAAAGTTGTATGCTTGGATGCTGGTATTTGATATCCATCTATGGAGTAAACTTGATCAGTTTCTTGATGAGGAAGAACATATGATGAATGTAGTTGTAAAATCATGGTTATTGATATGGTATACCTTCAATTTGGGCACTATTTTCACCTCAAAATGAGTCTTCCATAACTGAAGCATCTGTTCATGAACATTTGTTGAACGGATTTCATAACCAATCTGCAAGAAATATACTGGTAAGTCCACAACAATGAATGAGTTGAGTGAGTATATGTTGTTAAGTGATACCAGAATCATGGTTTTTGGTCCCGATAATGCAAGCATTGTCTGCAGCAATGGCTCCAAGAGATGTTCTGCATACACCTTGTAACACAAAGATAAGAATTGTCACATAACTGATCTTTTGTAAAGATGAAGCAGCTAAACATTAAAACAAACTCTGGTTTCAGGCAAACATACAACATCAGTGCCAATAATGTAATCAAACGGTGGATCAAGTGCCCTTGTATGATCCTCGTTACCCCAGCTGAGCTCTGCAGCCGTAATGGATCCAATCGAATCTGTGAAAACATGACATCCCAGTTTTAGCTCAGTTAAGGGCATCCGTATCAGTGATTAACAACTACATATGCTAATTACACAATCAAGTTCTTTAAGGTTGCATTTGGTACAATGGGCAGGACAGATGAAAAACAGGGGAGATGAAAGAAAATTGGTAAATTACTAAACTAATCATATCAAATTCCCATCCACTCCAGTCCATCTGCGTACAAGACGCACCTAATAGAACCAAATACTGCCTAAGGAGACAAAATGAATGAAAAAGAATCAAAGATTCAAGAACCTGCATCAGGGTTCATCTGCATGATCCTGGAAGTATTACGATCAACATTTCGCATCAGAAGAGGCAAGACCTCAACTTGATCGGTGGAAACAACATCACATCCAAGCAATGCCATGCCTATAGAATAAGAATAAAAACCCATCACTAAGAATTCGACAAACAAGAGATTTATACTCCTGTCTGATTACCGGCTTCTTTTGGGGATGTCTTGCGTTTATTATATCTTTTTAGAACAATTCGAAGTCAGATAAACCTACTTGGATGTTAAAATCAGTACAAATAAACTAATCAAAGTTCATAAGATTCATTTACTTGTATTTTACATGTTTGACATATCAAACACAAAGTTAAACAACTGTAAGAAGGAAGCAACACTCACCAAACCCTGCAACTCCACAACCTGCCCCAAGTTCAATAACGCGTTTGCCTTTTAGTTTCGATGGACTAAACCTCCCTTTCCTGCAATTTTTTTCCTATCGTGTAAGAAAAAGAATTAAGTCAGCAGTTCGTCGATAAGCATACATTTGTCCAAGAACCTACCCTTAAGAGATCAAGAATTTAGCAAGGGATTCACAAATCAATAACTACCCAAATACAATTGACACAAACTTGATTAATTTAACATTGAATCCAAACTTGTGGTTAGCGGATAGAAACGGATTTGAATCTAGACAACAATATTGTACTAGCTCATAAAAGGGATGACAAATGTTTACCAGATACTTAACCAATACCATTGACGCATCCCACACTGTTGTCCCTAAATGCTTAGAATTTGGATCCTAAGAAAGGAACAAACAAATCTTAACAAGCTGTAAAGCCGAACACATTCAAATGTGGAACAAGTGCATTAGGCATTCAAATACCTGAGAAAATTGCAGCTGATAGCCCAGAACTTCAAATAGAACAGCTGAGGTATGTGGTGAATTCAACCTAGAAACCCAAAACTATAACTTTAAGCATAGTACCCACTATTTATAAGATCAAATCGATGAGAATGCAAAAGGAATCAGGGAAATTGGTAAAAAAATGTTTTGTGGGAAAGAATTGTTGGCAATAGCAACTGTTACCTGTCGGCGTCCATGGAAGATTTGCAGTGGTGGGAAGACGCTAATTAGTATGAAATTAGACTGCAATAGGATACAAAGTCAGTAAATGCTACAAAGATTAGGTCATAAAAATCCATCTAATTACTGAATTTATCTCCCAACTTTTCTGTCCCGATACTGGCAAATCCTTGTACGCGGAACAAATTTTGGAACCATTGATGAATTGAGAGTGATGTAGGTAACAGCATTGATGTCGAATACACTCAATTTGATGGTGTTAGGTTCGAAGAACAACACGAATCAAGCAAATTTGGGGTTTCTAGGGTTTTTTCTCTTAGAGAGAGATGATTAAACAGATAGTGATTAGTGATTATGAGTCTGTTAAAACACTGAACGAATTAAACGGAACGTTAGAAAAAAAAATTACCTCAAGTATGAAGAACGTCGGGAAATTTGAATGACGAGCGGCAATTTCAAGTTGAGTACGAAGTATTCCTAAAAAGATTTGTGGGTTTACCAGTTTCGTCCATTAAGTCGATGGGAAAAAATGAATAAATATTTGCGGTGAGCGTGGATCGAACACGCGACCTTCAGATCTTCAGTCTGACGCTCTCCCAACTGAGCTATCCCCGCTTGATGTTAACTCTATTGGATTGATCTTTATGATTCTTCAAATTTCTTTCCTCATTCCATGAAACGTTTCTTCCTATCAGTGCCAACCGCCATGGAAACTGATCAACCAAGCTTCAATTTTTCTTTTCCTGGTGGTTTCCTTCTTTAACGTCTAGATGCATACTTTCTGATATCAACGTGGGAAAAGATTCTTGCGCATTAATATTCAGCTTATTCATTTAGCTATACACTGTGCTTTAGTGGATATAGGGAGATTCATACAGAAAGTTAAGCTTTTTCAAAACCTACCCTCCCAATTAGAAAACAAGCTTCTTTCATCTATGAAGAAAACCTTTTTATACAAATAAATTAATTGAAGAACCAATCAAACAGCCGTTTAATTTGTATCAGTGGGGTTGGCTCCTGCAACCATGCTTTAAACTCATGGCACATTTTGACAAACTCTCCAAAGACTGTGTGTTATCAACGAAGGTGGATGTAGGAAATGAAAAAAAACCCACTACTTCTCTGCAAAGGTACGTGCTTTTCAAGATTATGAAAGCCTTTCTGTTTCTTTTCATATACATAAACACTGTTACTTCAATCTGAAATCAGTTGCTGTGTAGTTACAAGTAAATCTCGACTCTTTCAATCTTTCTTTATATCACAAGAACAATATGCAATAAAGAGTAAACCCTTTGAACAATTACATGGAAGAATCTTTCGTAAATTTGATGGCTTTTTGGTGGCTATATATCTTTTTGATCAAGAAGGTGATCATGGTAGAGTGACCTTGCCCTTTTTGTTTGGTGGAGTAAGTTTTCCTGTTGTCCAAAGCTGTAGCATCTGTAATGCAGCACTTGGTTGATCCATAGGAACCATGTGTCCAGCGTTATGAACCTTAAGGAACGTAAGCGGCCCGTGGTTTTTTAGAATTCCAGCTTCTTTCCCGTCTACTGTAAATGAAACATTAGAAGCTGCAACGAAATCTTTCTGTCCAGACCACGCCATAGCATCAACCCATCTCGAATTCCCTGCAAATTACTCAATTTTGCTCGATGAAAATGGCCAAAGCTTCAAGATCGTACTTCGTTCCAAGTGGGATATAATGGGTTCCTTTAGTTCGGTTTAGTTTAAAATGGCAAAAACTTCAAGATCATACTTCATTTCAAATGGGATCTAATGGGTTCGTTTAGTCTAGAAATGGCAAAAACTTCAAGATCCAATATATACTTCATTCCGAGTGGAATATAATGGGTTCGTTTAGTTTAAAATGGCAAAAACTTCAAGATCCTACTTCATTTCGAGTGGGATATAAATGGGTTCGTTTAGTTTCGTTTAGTCTAAAAATGGCAAAAACTTCAAGATCATACTTCATTCCAAGTGGGATATAACGGGTTTTTTAGTTTGGTTTAGTTTAAGAATGGGATAATGGTTTCTTTATGTCATAAGGCTCAAAATTAAGCAAAAACTTACCAACCCAGTTGCAGATAAGGTCGTATTCGCCAGCATATACGAGCAACTCGATACCCTCCTCCAAAAGTGCTGGAATCCCAACTTCAAGATCTCTCATCCAGTCATCGAGCATCGCCTCGTGCACTGTCTCACTACACGAAACAAAATCTATGTCGCTTGGTACGCCTAATGCTGTTTTTACCGATGATTGGCCCAGAAAATCTTCCATGTTTGAGAAATCATAGCACAAACTCCCCTCACATTGCTTCCTAATATCATAGTACTGCCAATAGACAAACACAGTACAATTAGGCTTGAATTTTATTGTGTTTTTCAGCTCATTAATATAGTTTGTTCGTACATTTATGTTGCCCGCTATATACAGGATATCCTCCAAAATTTGCTGACAAGTTTGCAACGCGGTTCCGCATGAGGTTGTACCTGTTGTACCTGGAGACAAAAGACTCAAATTAGGGTATAAGAGGAAGATATGATAGCTAAAAAGGAAGAAATGAGTGCCATAACGGTGGTGGAAAGAATGCATATCAATATGCTTACCACATTCTTTGATTGCCGCTTCACAATCTGGGATTTGTTGGTTTATTTGGCTGTAATCTGATTGCGAAATCAGGTCATTCGCCAAAGCGTAATCGGTGTATGCTTTATACTGAATTGCAGGATCCGTAAGCCCGTTGCCAATCCCAAAACCCTTCAAGTTTATGTGAATCCCTTCTTTGTTTTTGTTCCCCTGGTTAACCCGAGCAGCGAAAGCCGGAATGTAGTGTCCTGCATATGATTCTCCGGTAATGTAGAAATCATTGTTGACGTAATCCGGGTGCGCTTTGAAGAACGCCTGTTAACTCATCGTAAAGATTTCAAGATCAATCCTATTTGAACTTGATTCCCAGTAAATGAAATCTACGAATTCGATTCACGAACCTGCAAGAAGAAGTAAAGATCGTTGCTCACGCCAGTTTCATCGTGGCGGATGTCTTGATCACTAGAACTGTAACTGAAACCGGTTCCGGTTGGTTGATCAACATATATCAAGTTTGAAACCTGTGATCATGAAAACTAACTTGTGAGCATCATCAACACATTCGTAGGACGCAGATATTGTCTGTTCAAAAGTGCTATAAACTCGATTTTGTACGTTTTAGTGTCTCAAGAACAGAAAGAATGTCCCAACACATACAGACGAAATTAATGATCCAAGTCTAACGGATACGTTGCAGGTTTTAGAGCCAACTAACCTTATCCCAGCCATAATCGTTCCAGACAAGAGACAGGTTGTTGGTAACCTTAAAAGGGCCATTTTCATAGAAGAGAGCCAATTCACTGCTGCACCCTGGTCCTCCAGTTAGCCATATAACTACTGGATCAGTTTTAGCCTTTCTTGATTCAAAGAAGAAATAGAACATCCTGCACAATATCATTTGGTCATGAAAAGATTATAGAAAACAAAGAACATCTATTAATTAACCAAAAGGCTTTTGGTTTCCGATTGGTTTGAGTTTAGACTCCAAAAGTCAAAAGTGTCTCGAGGTTCCTGGTTCGAATCCAAAAAATCCCCTTGTGGCCACGGAGGTTCAAATGCGATGACTCTGGGCTACCCGCAAAACAGATGATAGCCCTAAAATTAGTCGGCTCGTATAACAGGTCCGGTTTAATAAAAAGAAAAGAACATCTATTAATAGAATAAAGGGTTAGTCAACTTTCCCACCCAATATTCCAACTTTTTCCTAATCGTCAAGATATTTTCTAGCTAAAGGTAGGTTTATCTTCCAAAAGTAGACATCTTTAAATAATTCACATAATACCCATAAACAAGTGTATTGTTCTTGAACTAGTACACAGTTTAATTGCGTAAAGATCACATTTTGGACGTTAAATATGTTGTTTTTAGATTGAAAGATGATGGAAACGAATACAAACCGGGCATCAACCGTATGTTCGATGCGATAATATCCAGCATGTTGAGCAAGATCATGAACAGTGGCACCAGAATCACCAAGAACCGAGAGAGATAACCGTTTCTCGACGATCCCAGATTGCGTAACTTTGTCGAGGTCAAGATAAGAAGAATTGGTGTAGGATTTAACGATGTTAACATCAAGATTTGGATGCAAATTGAGGTCCCTGATGAGTTGATGGCTTGTTTTTACCAAAGATTTGGAATGATGAAATGAAGATGGATTGGTTCTTGCAGAAGATGAAGAAATGAAGAGAAGAAGAAGAAGAGGAAGGAGATAGAGAATCTGAGGAGGAAGAGGGGGCATGATTGTAGAGATAGAAGACAGAAGGTAGTTTTTGGTGCGTGGGTGTGGGGGCATGATGTATACATGTATGTATGTGTATATATAGTGTTTGATAACTTTGATTGGCTTGCAGTTTGTTGTTATTCATGGATTGGAGTGTGGAAAGGGTTTCACACACTACACACATAGTTTGGGTGTGTGTGTGAAAAGTAGAAGTCACTTCTATTCGAATTTTTCGGTAACAACTATTTGAATTTTAAATAAAATTATTATATAATATGTTTTAATTAGATAGAGTTTTAAATATAAATTAAATTGTGAAATGTTACAAATCATATAAATCAAAGGTTGAAATTGATTTGTAAACTCCATCTCTATACTATATTATAAAGCATTTGACAAAAACTCTTAAAAACCATATTTTATACATGAAGTACTGCATATTGATGCATATTACTTAAATTCAAGATTATAGGTAAATTATACATAAGTACAACTTATTAAAACTTCATGTTTAAATTTGTACTAGAAGAGTACTCGCGCAATGCAGCGAGACACATCTCGTTTTTAATGTTATATTTTATTATTTGTTTATGTCGATGTTATAATACGATTTTATATGTTTTTAAGAAATCATTAATGATTTTATTTTTGAATAAAATATATATTTGAAGATATCATCAAAATTTGAAAAAAAATATATCAATGTTAATACCAAATCAACTATTTAAAAGTTCTCATTTGTATGTAATTTCTTTAATTTATTTTTTTATTATAATTTAATTTAAGTTTGATAACGAAATTATTTATTTTTGGTTTAATAATATAAACATTTTAATAGATAATAATTAAGTATTATCTTAGAACTCAATGATTATCCTAATTAAATTTTAGATTTTTTATATTTAAAATGATATATTTATATTGTATTTGATTATGTTTATCTGCAGTTAGTTACACGAATTCAGATATGAAGCTTTAATAAGTTGTACTTACGCACAGTCTACTTGCAATATTGAGTTTTAAGTAATATGCATTAATAAACAGTACTTTACGCATAAAAAGTGGTTTTTAAGAGTTTTTATCAAATGCTTTATAATATAGTATAGATAACTAACTAGAGATACACATAATCAAATAGAGGATAAACATCTCATTTTAAAATATAAAAAATCTAAACATAATTAGGATAATCATCGAGTTCTAACAAAATAATTAATTATTATATTTATAAGAAAATTATATTATTAAACCAAATATAAATTACTTCGACCTAAATTAAATTATAATAAAAAATTGATAAAAAAATAACACAAAAAATAAGAATTTTAAATAGTTAATTTGATACTAATATTGATATATTTTTGTCAAAATTTTATGATATCTTTAATTTTATATTTTATTAAAAAATAAAAACATCATCGTTTTTCAAAATCACGTAAGATCATACTATAACATCGACTGAGATAAAAAATAAAATGAAATATTAAAATCAAGATGTATCTCGCTGCATTGCGCGAGTACCCTTCTAGTCTATTTAAATATAAATCGTAATCCTTGTAAAAATACGAGTGAATTTGAATATATCTTGTGCTCAAGATTCATCGAAACTACATCTTATGGTAAGTCGTGATTGTAGCCTCTGCTTACAATCTTGAAGTAAATCTTTCGGTAGATGGTATGATTAATTCACACCCGAATTGATTTTATCATCCTTCTTAATTGTCTTTGTTATAAAAAAATATCCGATCGTTGTTGTGATATGAAATGCTTTTAATATATTTACAAGACGGTTGGCTTATTAAATTTGCAACGAAGAAACCGAGCTTTGTTTATGTATGTCGAACTAATGTTCCTTAATGTGTTTTATTCATGGGTCATTTTCTTCTAATTTAACTAAGAAAACAAAATTTTGGACGTAGTAAATGAAAAATGATTAAGGAAATTTATATTTTCTTTCGGTTATGATAAATATTTATGAATATTATTTACATGAAATATAATTCATTTCATTATGTTTATTATGAATAGATAAAGATTTATGATATTCATTATGAATAAATAGTTTTTAGAATTTTTAAATGAAGATGTTATTTTATATGGCCAATTTATTAAAATAATTAAATAGAAGCTTTGTTTCTATCGTTGTCGTTATTAATGTGTTTTATTATATCAAAGTTGTACAACGCTGTTGTAGTTGTATGCAATGTGTAAATAATATATTTCAAGTCAAAAAAAAGGTTCTTTTTGGTCTCTCCAATGTTGATGTTAGTTGTTCGGTAGTGGTTTAACGGGTTGTATGGGGTTTATGACTTATTCGGTAGTTAGTCATACGGAGTTGTTTGGTTGTAGCTTAATAAAATAACTAAGGGCTTATTCGCTCAGCTGAGTAGGAGGCGTCGTTTCACACAGAGTTGTTTGGTTGTAGCTTAATAAAATAAATGAGGGCTTATTCGCTTAGTTGAGTAGGGGATGTCCTTTCCATTCAGCCATCGTTTTTCCTTTCATATCCTTGTGAAACCCAAACCCGTCGAAACAAAACACACGCCACCTCAAAGACGCTCCCCTGTCCTCCTCCTTCATGGTCTCCCAGCTCGAAAAATGGAGAAGAAACGGTAGTCAAATTTTTCCATTTTTTATAGATACACGCTACCATTAAGAAAGGCGTTGGTTGAAAAATACGATATTTTTGTTGGAATTTCCATTTTTGATATGAAATCGTTGTTACCTCCAATTGGTTTGTACCTCATTTTCTTGAAATTCCTTGGTTTAGTGGGTTTTTCCATTTGTGATATGAATCCCAATTAGGTTTCAATTATAGCAACTAAATACATGGGTTTTTCCTTTTCTGATTTGTGATACCCAAAATTATAGCAATTGTTGTTTGGCAATTGTTGAATGATTTGGTGCAGAATGATTAAGAGACTTTCATGATATAGTGCAAAATGAAATATAATTGTTTACAATGAAATCATGGCGCTTAATGGTTAAGGGAGGCGGAGGCTTAGGATACAAAATCATTCAGAGGGTTTTAGAATCATTAAGAGATAGTCTTTTTTTTGTCAAACAAGATTCACCTCTTAATGATTCAGATGTTGTCTCTTAATGAAACTATTAAGAGGTAAACAAACAACCTCTAAATTTCTTGATTCAGTGGGGTTTTCTTTTCTTGAAATTTATTAAATTAAGATTCGTATCATACTTCAATATGACATATTTTAAAAACGGGTCTAAGACAAATCTTTTAATACTTGTATAACAAAAACAAAGAGTCATGCTTATTACACCTGAGCCCGTGTCCAACCGTAAACCTTCTTTGAGAGCGTTGGGTCGTAGCCTTAACTACATGGTAACTTGGCTTTAAACACATGTGATTCTATTCGTAAACATGTACTCATTTTGAATGAAATCATCATATCTCTTTACTTATTAAAGAGTTTAACTTAAAACTTCATCATCAAAAGACAAAGTTAGAAATTTCATTCATGTCTCTATCTTCTTATAACATCTTTTCTCCTTTCCTTTACCATCTCTCTTCCAATGTGAAACAATTTCACTAACATTTTTTCAATTGTGATTTTAATAAAAAATAATTGATTAATTTTTATAATTAAAAAATCTACAATTTTGTTTAAATATCTAAAAATATAAGACATTTTTATTATTTATATTTTACAAATTTTATCATAAAAGCTTATTATGTTTTAAAACTAATTATATATAAGATAATCGAGTATCTCACGAGCTTTTCGAGTCAAGTATTGGGTATCTTGACTCGACTCGTTAATATGTCGAGTCGAATGTTGACCGATCTTTGACCGAGTCGATCTCGAGTAGCTCGCAAGTTGTCTCGTATCGTTTACATCCCTACCCGTGCTTTTAAAATCATCAAATTATGTAGCAAAAATGTTCTACAATTTTTTGTAATTTAAAATTTTTCGACTTTTAAATAGAAACTAGATTTACATATATCTTATATTTCCGGTCAGCATCATCATCTATTAGCATGTTAAATAGGAGTTTTTAAATAGAGCCTCCAAAATTTTACTTACTTTTAAGGCTTAATTTATATAGACTTGTAAACCCACCTCCATGAAAACCTAACTAATTTCTTACAAAATCAAAAAACCGCTATTTAATTTCAGAATTCGTCGATAAAAAACAAAAACGACTCTCCGATATTTTTTCTCGTCATCATTTTAAACATTATGGTTGTTTCAATTTGTAAGGTTTTTAATATGACATAAACTTTTATATTTTATTTTGTTTATTACTCGTTTTAAATAATCTATAACTTTAATACATATATAACATGAGCTCCAAAATCAAAAAAACTGGAACATTTATACTTCCAACATATGGTATGGTTTGGTTGTGTCAGCTTATCCCTTCAAATATGTATTTTAAATAACAAAATTATATCATGGGAACTACGTGGATTGGAACGTTGTTTCCACGTTATGATGTAATGTAGTTTGAAACACAAATATTCTTGTTAGGCATTTAATGGCGTATACGCCAATTGGTTACAACTCTCCACCCTTTTTAACCAACAATATATGCATCCAAACTAAGTCTAATAATGGAAAGGTTTCTATATTTTCTTTCAAAATAACAGACAATACTTTTTAAGTATTTTATCAAACACTTTTCACCAATTTCCGATCCATATAACTTTTGATGCACGAATCGACCCATTTCCTTACGATTAAAAACATGCTCAACTATAAATGACAGAGCATTTCTTCTAAGATACAGGCTTCCAAGTAGAAACAACCAAAAATCGGTCTTGGTACGAAAATTTCATTATGTAGCTAGTCCCGGTCCCGGTCTCAACAAAAATATTTGGCCCATTCTCCATGTACAAAGCCCGGTCCATAGAACCGCTCCTAGCCGGACCCAAACCAGTTCCATTTTTTTTAATCAATTTTGAACGCATAGAAATTCTTGCTTGAGGATTTTCTCTTTTTTTTTACGATATCTTATTAAAACACGTTAAAATCTCTATTTGGATCATTCAAATACACTTTATAAAAAAAAATTAATTTTTTTTACACAAAAAACTTTTTGGTAAGAAATACTTTTAGATTTCTTTTTTTTAGACAAAAATCTTTTTAGTATTGGAACATTTAGAGAGCTTCAATAAAACTTAAAAAAAAATAAGTTTTTGGTAAGAAATTTTTTTTTTGATATATAATTTATTTATAAAATTTTATTTTTTTTAGATCAGACCTCTTTATAATTGGTCCCGATCCAGTAACTAGTCTCAAGCAGGGCCCTGAATTTTCATAAAAAACGTAACAGGTCCTGGACCATTGGCCCATAACCGGTCCCCATCCCAGGCCGGGCCCATTTTGGCTATCTCTACTCCCAACTTCCCAAGTAGAGATGCACACAGAAAAAACCAAACCCAAGTCCCAGGTTTAGTAAGCCCAAGCCTAGGCCCAGCCTTAAATCCCGATTAGGCCATTTAAGGCCTGGTTGCCAGACCCTCTTTCAACCCCAAAATCCGACCAGACCAACCCCCCAAAAAGCCCGGTCTTTTTGTTTATCAAAAACCCGTGCCTTGTGCATCTCTAAGGTCTACTCCCAAGGAATGTGGCATTCGAGCCGAGTGTCACAACAGCATATATTACTGTCAACCAACTCACTTATAGCTAATTAGCATAAGAAGAAGTACACCACGGATACCAAGAGGGATGAATATAACAAGATCTTAAATTGAACCAAAGGGCTTTTGCCTTAGTGGTATGCCGGTATCCGGGATACCAATAGAGCTCAGCCTCCTGATCCTCCTAGGAGGTATTAGAGTTTGCTTAAAGGGTTTTTTGGTAATTTGCTTTCTTTATTTTGTTCTAGATTGTTCCCATTGTTCTTGGTAGTTCTCGAACTATTTTTTGTATTGTTTTGTCTTCCGGATTGCAATTGAAAAGTGTTTTTCTCTCTCACATACCTCTCTCTAAAACTTGTATCTATCATATGGTATCAGAGCAAGATCCATCCAAACCCTTTGATAATTACTTCTCATTTCTTTCATTCCGTGATATATTTCTTGCATATTCAAGATGTCTCACTCTAATTCCTCTCCACAATCTTCACCCAGGAAAAAGAAAGAAAGCAAATTACCAAAAAAACCCTTTAAGCAAACTATAATAGGAGGTCAAGGGTTCAAATCTCACGAGGGTGCATGAGTTCGTTTTCTGTAAATAGATATTATATATACTTAAGGAAAGGACATTAAATTAATAGCACACAAGATTTCCAGATTACATGAAGTTGGTTGTCATATGCTATGGATATTCGTTATCGAACAATAGGTATGATTGCAGCCATCTCAAATTATAGTATATATACCAACTCACAGGTTAATGCAGGTGATGGGAAGTCGAATCATGACCTTACTTTGGCAAGGCGAGCCCTAATTTCTTCTAATTCCTCTTCATCATCAACACCCTCATCCTACATATTCATACCAAGGGTTGATTCGTCTTCAAAAAATTTACAACAATGGACATTAACACCGTGTTCTCGAATTTGGGAAATGAAGAGGACCGGAAATAAATGGAAAGGAAATAAATTTTTGTATCTCTGTTCTTGAAACGGAACAATTCTCATATTTTGTGAACCGAAGAGAAAGAAAAGGAAAGATGTCATTTTTACAAATATACCCTTTGTTTGGGAGTAAACTGACTTGAGATGAGGGTACTCTTGTCATAAATGACGTTTTTCCTATTCCTTCCCACATTGTGGAAGGAAAGTTTCGGAGGAAAATATACCTCCTATTTCTTTCCTTTCCATCCTAAATGTGTTTAGAGAATGCATGGTTTTTCTGTTTTCCTCTACTTTCCCACCCTTTCCTTACTTTTCCTTCGAGAACACGCTGTAAAATGGAGATAAAAGGGTCAAGAAAGTACCTCTTCATCTTGAGTTGCCTGAGCAGGCTGCTTCAATCGCTCTTTCCTGACTGCTTCTGGAAGCTGTGCAGCAGTCTCACCAGCTATGGCAGTCAAAACCTTATCAACCTCTTCGTCAATCTCATCTTCTATGTCGTCTGAATCTAATGCCGAGTCAACAGCATCATTCACAATCTCTTCGATAACACCCGCCTGGAGAACATAACAGAATTGGATTACCACCAGGAGAAAAGTAAAAATAAATGTGTCCTTCCGGGTAAAACTAAGTCATAAAAGAGCACAATGATTCAGTCTAATAATATTTCATCCAGCATTTTAAAGGGGAATAGAACAAAAATACAGAAAGATATATACATGCACACCTGCCTACATGAATTGTTTCTTTGGCAAAAAGAGAAGATAACTCAAGAATTGAAGTACCTTGGTCATTTCTTTGTTGAATTCTTGCATGGTCACAGCCATTTCTGGAGCCTTCATTAGGTTATTAACAATCTTCATGACTTCAGCACTCTTAGACAGATGCCCCACCGTACGAGCAATAGCTGTAGAACATCAGATTCAGCAGATATAACTAGTGGACTTAAACAAGGATTATTTGGTACACATTAACAGGCTTTTAGAGATGACTAGTTTTTAGTGGCTCCGCTCGCTTAGGTTTCAGGCAACTTCTCAAGTATCATTTAGAATTTTCAAAAATATTCAGCATATGACTGGGATTAATAAATACCTGATTAACATTGAAAGCTCATATTTTTACATACTATAAGTCTTCTCCTGACAAAATTAGTTTTACAGTTTGCAGAAGTTGCTACATTGCAACAATGATGACATCATATTGTGGAATTCACAAGCTTGTAAAATAACCAGCATTTAACTTTCTCATTTAACATATTGAAATAGTATATATATATATATATACATATATATAATAGAAGGGAGAGGCGAGGATCTAATACAGCAGAAGTTCTTACCATGTTATGGGACATGGTATAAGAACTAAAAGTACTATGAATGAGGAAATTGAAGCCGCATAGAAACAGATGATGTAGTTGGGTTTAGATGGTCCACTAATGTCGTTATTATTCCAAGCCAAACAATTCTATTTGATGACAACTGCTCACTTAATCTACCATAACCTGCTACTGTCCACTTCCCTTGAATTTCGGTCAGGTGTTACTGTTGGATGCCAAAACCAACAACTTTCAGCTTAAAACTTCAACTGTCTATACAACAGCTATATTTTTTACATTTTTGGAATACCAAGAAATGACATTAACACAGCTGCAGCAAATGCCTAGTGGTAATGATAGGCAGGTGAAATCAATCCACAGATAAAAAATAGCTACAAAAGCCGCTTGCTGAGTAAATCCTTTCTTAAGGTTAGAAGAATGGATGCAAAAGATAGCACATGGATAAATGCAAGGAACATACCAACGCTTTCCCCTAGATGCATTGATATTGAATTCAACTGAGCTTTATTTTCATAGAGGCGATTTACAGTTCTTCTGGATCTCACAACTTCTCTAGCAAGTGCCTGAAGTAATTTACATGGGAAAAAGTGAATTGGAAGGAAAGAATTTATAATATAAATATGAGGTTCTTTAAAGGAAAGCGAGAATTGTACTAGTGCACCAACGCAAACAAAAAAAACAGACACTAGTGTAAATCTAGGTAGATAAGTTCCATTGGAAGTGAAACAGAAGGGCAAATAATTGTCATAAGTTGGAAAACTTTGTAATAAAGCTAGGCAGATAAAAACTAAGCTTCTGTTCGGACCACGGACCACCAACCACCTACTAATACAGGTAGCAATAGGTAAGAACTAAGATGAAAACATAATCTGATCCTGTTCATGGATTAACAAAAATGTGCAAAAGCTCTATTTGCCTCTGCCATTCTATGAGTCTCTTCCATTTTGCGTATGGCATCGCCACTCCCTTTGGCAACATCCACTAATTCCTCATTACGAGCTTGTAGACATGCTTCTAGAGCTACTCGATTAGCTATGGCACCGGGTGCATTTCCCCAAGGGTGCCTTAAAGTTCCGCCACCGAACTGTAGTACAAAATCATCCCCAAAGATTTCGGTCAGAGCAGGCATATCACAAACGTGAATACCCCCCGAAGCTACGGGTAGAACAGCTGGTAGAGAGACTCAATCTTGGGTGAAATAAATACCACGACTTCGATCTTTTTCAATAAAATCATCAAGCAGTAAATCAACAAAGCCCAAAGTTATCTCTCTTTCCCCTTCAAGTTTACCTACTAAGGTACCGGAATGAATATGATCTCCACCGAACATACGTAACGCTTTAGCTAGATACTATTTCAGCAATCGAGCCACATGTATCTAACATATTCATACCTAAGGCTTTAAAACAAAGTGGTGACGATTGACGAAACGCATACTTGTACAAATATTTCCATTTTCCAAGTCGATCCAATCCATTCATTTGTAGAGCTATTTACTCGATAGCAAACAATTAGGCATCTTAAACATGCATGAGGTCTTCACAATCCATGGAGAGGCTATCGGAAACCTAGACCTCCCTTATGACCTGGAATATATTAAATCTTCACACTCCATGGAGAGAAGCTATTGAAAAACTTGACCTCCTTAATGACATGAAATTCATGAGATTGTCACACTCGCCGGAGAGGGCATCAGAAATCTAGACGTCCCTTATGACTTGAAACATAATAAATGCACAAACAACAATGTGATTTCCATGTTGAACTTCCAACTCTCTCCTACACACACTAGCCCTCTAAAAATCTTTCTATCTCAAACTAAACAACATAATGGTGGAGAAACTGAAAGAGTTGATCCCCAAATGTAGCAAAAGAATGAATTGCTAGGGGGTGAAGTATCAGCGAATTTTGAAGATCATTTGTGTGAACAGTTCCACTAGTTACAATTCTTCACAGCTAGATCAATTCTAAATTCGAAATTGAAAGTAAAAAATAATAAATATACAAGCATTTGGGGATCGAAGCTTCCATACATACAGCCAGATTAGAAGCCAATTGAACTGTTCACTACTAGAAACACAACCAATCAAGTGCTAGGTTAATACCTTAGCAGAACCCATATCGTTTCTCTTGGCAGCCTCTCGTATTGCTTTCTGAACACTTTTCTCTTCTCTCTGTATATCTAAAGAAATCCCCATGAATCCAAATCAAATACCCATAAACTCAACAATTTAAGTTTTCAGAACACAATAAAACTGATACTACACAATATTTTCTATAAAGAAGCCAAATAAAATTATCTTACCACGAATCTGACGCTCGATGTTGCGGCACTCTTGCCGGAGACGACGTTGCCAATCGCGTAATAGCTGTTGCGGATTAGGTTTTGGCTTTAATATGTTCATCACTTTCTCCATCTTCTACGACAACTATAATCCTGCTAAAATCGGGGGCTTCAAGAACTAAATTCGAGGAGGACGAAGTTGAATTAAAGATCAAAACCTGATTCTTGGATTCTTACGATCTAATAAGCTTACTTTTCTTCGGATTTGGGGAAGAACTATAGCAGATCCTTCAACGCGTATTTATTATATTCCTAGTGTCATGTTCAACTCAAGTTGTTCTGATCTACTATTCTACCCGGTGAATCCTATCAATTTTGGTACCAATCGAAACAACCCTTGACTTGTCAAAAACTTTTTATTATCGATCTGGAATCAGAATAAGTTGTTTATCTAAACACTTAAAAATATTTATTATCAATGACACATCGAAATAAATCAATAAATTATTTTTATAAGCAATCTCAAACACCTCCTAAAGGTAACTTATCATACGATACTTCTTATTCTTACAATCCTCCGTCTATTTCATCATCAACACTTGTCATTTAATCGGTTGTAACTATTTTTAATTAAAAAAACCAAAAAAGTTATATTATATACACATTATTTGAATACTTATATAAGTAGAGATAAGTAGTACAACACATATTAACATGTTATATGAATGTTCAAAGTTTTAATGAATCTATATCTAATTGGTAAAGATCTTAATTTCGATAAATACTTGACATCAGCTTTTACGATGTTGGTATAATACCATACCAACATGTACCAACTGGAAAAAGCTGGTACCATATATAGTTCGTTGGTATATGTTATAAAGTTTTGTGTACCAATCATAATAGGTTGGTATATGATGTACGGGAAAAAAAAAACATGATACTGTACTATGTTCACCCTGATTCTACTTTCCTTGGCCCGACATCTGTTCGACATCTTAGAAATTTAATCGACGTGTAAAATTAAAATTCGAGGTTTATAATATTTTAAATCGTTTATTTGAAAAACAATATTTGATAGATCAACAAAACACTATCTGATTTAAAATTTTATTCATTTTATTTAAATTTATTTTAACTTGTTATCTGATTGACTGAAAACCATTTCTTAGGATAAGGAAGGCTTATAACCATACAGATTATGTTGGACATCTCGGTTTTTTCTTGCTTATGTTGCAAAGCATGGATCAGCTAGTTTATTTGACGACCATAAACACTTGTTTCAGTTTTTTTATTGTGCTTGTGAAATTGGACGTTGGTTATATGATTTTAATTGTATTTGTGTTTATGTAGAATGATTATAAATTGTAATAATACTTTTTTTTATTTTGATCATTACTTAGCATAGGGCAAATTGCATGAAAAAATAACGTATTTTAACTTGATTCATATTTTGGGTAACATACTTTCAAAACTTCTATTTTGGTACCTAATATGTAAAGGTTTAAACATTTAAGTACCCGGGTAATCAGTTGAAGCATTAAACGGTTATCATGCTGATGTGGCGAGTGATGTGGTATTCAACACAGTATTATTTACTGATGTGGTTAGTGACATGAATTTTTTAATCTAAAATTAGTTTTCAACTTGTTACCCGGGTATTTAAATGTTTAAATCTTTACATATTAGTTATCAAAATGAAAGTTTTTAAATTACATTACCCAAAATAAAAATCAAGTTAAAATACATTATTTGTTTATGCAATTTACATTTTACTTGGTTGAAATACGACCATTTGATCCATCATCTATATTAGAGATTAGGGGTGTAAACGATACGAGACAACTCGCGAGCTACTCGAGATC